GCTTCTACATGGTTCCCAAGACACAAAGAAGATCCCTGATTAGGAAAAAGATGGGCCCGCGTTGTGCCAATCCTATCCAAAAAGGGTGAAAGTAGTTAGCATAATTTCCGGCCAAACCATTTCCAAATCTGGAGATGTAGGATATGGTAGGATATTTTGACAACCCAACAAAATCCTTTCTGAATATGAGTTGGGTTGTGAGGATACAGGGATGCGGTTTTATATTTGTAAAGAAATATGGATTTTTTTTCTAGTCATAATGGAATATACAATGATATATAATTTTGTTGAAAATAAATATTTATACTATTTCTAGATAATAGGAATAATTCTAGGCAATCAATACTAAAGGTTTTCCCAAGGTACCTATCCAAGGTAAAAGTACGACTTGAATTTGTTGATTAGATTGGATAATGAGCAAGAACAACAATGACATCCGTATTCCTAAAAAGTAAAATCGATAAAATTGCAATTTGATTAAACCCTTGGAGTAGCTACTAAAATCAATGGAATAAATACTAAGGTTTAGTCCTGGAAAAATATACCTATTTTACATATTTGGGGATAGCCGAAAAGTGCGAAAAGGCCGGTTCAACTATACAAACATGAGCTATTTGCGGTTTTCACTATTTTAGGTACAATCTGTCGATGGCATTCTCAAATTCTCACCGGATCGTAGGTTATGTGATTTTGTAAAATGTTTGGTGGGCATCACTTAATAGTGTTGTATCCAATTTGTTTTTTCATCATGAGCCTTTTGTTGATAATATATTGCTTGTATTCGATGAGGGTTTACCTTTTTTTGAGGGATGAGGATGTACTTTGCTATATCATGTCCATATGACCGAATACTTTGTTTCTTGAGATCTAGTCGTGCCGCCGCCTCAAACCCATGTCTGCATCGCCGGTGAACACCCTCTACAACGGCCGGCTGGCACACGCGAGATGGAAGCAAAGGAGGAGATAGGGCACGAGTAGAGAAGGAACTCACCTCCCGCCGGCCTCTCTGCTATCTGCTAGATGCG